AATTGGTGTTAAGTTGAGTGAGGGAGGACTTTGAAGTGGGTTTTCTTTGAATTTGGTAAAGGCTTTTTGGTTTTTATTGAGTGTTAAGCTGTTAAAGAAGGGATTTATAGGGTTAATTTAGTGATTATTCTTTGTTTTAAGTTTGCTAGCCAATAACTTTATGACACAAAGTTTGGGGATATTTTACCTCTTTTAGGTCTACAGATGCATTCAAGTTGCCTTGAAAATCTTATTTTACTATTGAACTTATGTTAACAATGAAATATTTTAGTTTAGGAAAAAAGGAAAGGCCTATCTTATGAGTCATTTTCTCCATTAACTTACAAATTCCCTGGAAAATAGTGCAAACTTTTAGAAAATTTGTGGGAAAAAATCAAAAAACAAGCCAAAAACATTATACTTTCATAATTTGTCATTAATTTATTTAATTTAACATTAAAATTTGGAACCAAAAACCCTTAAGAATCCCTAAAAATCACACCTGAAATCAGGAACCGGGTAAGGAAAGCTTACTGAGGTGCCAAGAGGGACTACACCGACCCCAACCGACCGACCACAGTTAATTAAATTCCCATCTAACCTCTGCACATATGCAATGCAGTCGGAATAAGTTATATACATAGGAGTATGCAGTACATATGGCCATTTGAAGAAGGATTCGATTGCGGTTAGAGAAGTTGACAGGACGAGAAGAAGGTCGGCAATGGGATTTGATTGCCGTTCAATTTGTGGTGTGAAATCAATTTGGGTTTGAGGAGGGGGAAAGGCAAATTCCATTTGGCAAAGCAAATCAATAACTAGAAAAACATTTATTTTTTAAAATTTAAATTTGAGTTGGGAAAATGCAGTAATTAATAAGGGTTTATGCTGTTTTGAAGAAACCAAACTGGGCAGCAACCGTTTTCTGGGCTAAGTTCCTGCAACTTGCCACCAGAGACAGAGAGAGAGAGTCTGGAAATTATTTTTGGTTGCAAAAAAAGGAAAGAAAATTCTTTGCACTTAATTTGCTTTTGCTAAACTTTTGCAGGGCCTTATCTCTCGCCATGGCTTTCTCCTCGCCTGTTTATTCGCCTTCCTATGTCCACAAACTTTCATCTCGGTAGTTTTCCTATCTAAATGGCTTAACATTTTCATTCAGCTCTTCCTGCTTAACTCTGCTCTGCTCTGCTCTGCTCTCTCTATCTCACTTTCCTTCTAAAGTTTTGGGTTCGCAGGGCGGCGTTGAGTGTTTAACTTCTGGCAGCTGCTGATGCTCCACTTTGGCTCACCCATCCAGTAGCCTCAGCCGCCTGGGAGTTAATCGGGTCATAAAATGTCTGACGCAGACGCTCCTTTGACTCCATCAAATGCCTCCCATGCTGCGGGAAATTGTGAATCTCGTGATGGATTCCGTTTTGAAAATGCAGAACAGGGGATATGGGAATGCCCTCTGCCCTCTGCCCTCGGAAATGAGAGGATTACAAGCAGGTATCCCACCACCAGATGGGATTGTAATGTGATGAGAAGTTTGTGAAATGGAAAAGGGAATGGATTGTGGATTGCTGTTAATGGTAATGGAAGTGGGAGCTGGCTATTGGATAGGGAAATTAAACTAATATCAAAGGGGGGTTAGAGGTGTTAGATATCGAAAACTAAACTTAAACTTGGTTTATGCTGGATTTGCGGGATCTGAGTTGCTCCTAAGTAAGCCATCAACTGTTGCAGCCTCCAATCCCAACTCGAACCCATATGTTTTCTTACATTTTTAATTTGTCCGCGACGAAGGATGCGGTTGATGCGGGCTGTGGGAAGTGGGTTGTGAGCGATAATGAAAGGCTGAAAGGGGAGGAGGGATGGTAGAGAGAGAGAGAGCCTTTCTGTTCTTTGCTCCCGGGGATGATGAGGAAGCGGCTAAGACTTGTTAATCATGATGAACCAGTTAGATGTGACAGCAGACAGACAGGAAGTTCGTTCCCCATGTGGAGTGGTTGCGGGGCACGTAGCATGCCCCAATGTCTGCGTTGCGGTTGCCTGTGCCTTCTCATGTAAAATGCATGATAAACAAACATGCGCGTCTTTTTTGCTTACGCATAATGTTACATCGGACCACCCACTGACCCACCACCATCACCCAACCCAACCATGCCCACATTTTGTGATGTCTTCTTTATGCTGACAAATGCCTGACAGCCGCCTGCAAGGCGGGGCATTGGGAGGGGGCAGGCGTTTTTCTGTGGAGTGGAACATTGCGGAAATTTGCATAAAAATGAAAAATAAAGAGCTTCCCTATCACACTCGCTCTCCAGCCAGGCCAGCTTTGTGCCACATGTGTGTCAAAGTGTTGAGCTTAAAGCCGCGCAGATATCAGCCAAATGACAGTTCTGATGATCACAGCTGGCTCCCAGAAACCCAAGAGATGATGATGATGAAAAACAAGTTAAATTACTTAAATTAAATTTGGGGAAAAAAATAGAAAGACTGGCTAAGTAGGACAACTTTTTGGTCTATTTCGTGAGAGAGCTTGATAAGGTTGGCTCGAGAGAGAAGAAGTAAATATGGGAAATCAGTAAATAGTTTTCCTTTTAAGTAGCTTTTCCTTCAAACTAAACTTTCCCTTAAAACATAGCTTCTTTCCTACAATAGTTCTGCTAACATTTTCTTTCCATAAGAGACAGCTGTTCCCTGTTCCCCAAAAATGTATGCACATGCGGAAGTAATTCTTTGATAAGTTTGTGCCTCGAACTGGTGGGATGGAGAGGGGGGGTTACCTATTACATAATGCCACTCCTGAAAATATGCAACAGCTTTCGAAGGATGGATTCGCCTGGCACAGACACATACCCAAGGCAAAGAAGCCACGCGCATAACTTAAACGGATTCCACTTCTCCGAGTGCATGAACCCATGGCTTGCATAATTTAGTGTATTTAACTCTGCCACCGCCTGCTCTGCCTTTCAGCTCTTCAGTTCTTTAGCTCCACCTACAGTCCAGGTCTACTATATAGTATATGCTAATGCTAATGCCCAATGCTAAGCTAAGCACATGCTGCTCCCGCTGCTGCTGCTGCTGCTGCTAAAGAGTGCGAAAAGTTGGCCAAAGAACTTTGCTCCTGTTTTCCTTTTGATTAAGTTAAGGAATGCCGCTGGAAAAACGTTTAACTTGGGTTTTTATTTCAGGAATTCTTAGGGAAAACTATAGGGAAATGTATATATATGTTTAAGAAAGAAGCTATATCATTTACCCAAAGCTTGAAGTTGATTATTGAATGATAAGTTACCTAACTTAAGAGAAACATTTTCCTACTGTAAAGGCAGGTCAATCGTCGTCATGACTTTACCACCTCAACTTGCCTGTAAATTACTCATACATTTTCGTTTATTATCATCACAATGTTATCAAAAATGCAACTATTACACCATTTTAGTCTACGTTACTAAACTTTAATCTAAAGCCCTGGCACTGTCAACTTGTTGTTGATAAATTGACATCCGCTATCAGCAATGGCATTAACTTTGCCAAGAAATCAGAGCACTCATAAGTGTTAAAGAGAAAATTCCTATAGGAAATAGTTTGAAAATGTAAAAACATAAAGAATTTAGCGGAGAGTTAACTTTAAAGTAAAAAATCTTAAGACAAAAACCCTTCTTTTTTGTTTAAAATTTGCATAAAGCAGAATAATTTGATTAAGTAAAGAACTGAAATTGAAACTCCTGCCATGAAGTAAAGCCAATCTCCTGGGAAGAACTCTTCCTATCGATGGGCGATAACTTTAATTAACTATTACTGGAATCACAGCTGCGTTCAAAGTGCACTCTGGCTGACGTTCTGGGAATTGGCTTTGTGTTTTAGCCGGCTTTCAGCCATCCGCAGTACAGACGACCAGTTTGGCCAAAAACCCTCTGCCACTGCCACTGCCACTTGCACATCTACCCAACCATTCCTTGGGCCATATATGGGGCCCCTCCTTAGTTCCTTTTGGGCCCAGTCAGTGCTCTCGACCCAAATCCAGAGTTGGCTCAAAACTTCCATGGCAAGGACGAATGGATTGGGGTTTGTCTGTTTTTCGAGCCAAATGCGCTGGCCCAGCATTTTGTTGCTCTATCCAAATTTAATTAAATTTTTTGTGCACGCGCACACCCACACACACACAGAGAGAAAGAGAGAGAAAAACACACACTGACACTGACAGAGGACGACCTACTTGTATTCCCCAGGATAAAGGATAGCACTATCATCGTTTTCCCTGGCTCTCCAGTGTTTTTCGCACAAAATTAATTGCAGGAAAGCGGGTAGCAATGGGGAATATAGTGGGTGACATGGCTACACGCCCACTTGTTGGCCAAGGTCTTGCGATATGGTCTCCGAGCTTGCGACAACCTGCAATTATCCCCAAGACCAGGAAGTCCTGCCACGTAGTTTCAACTTGCGCTATTGTTAGTCTCCCACCAATAGCTGGGGTCACAAAAATAGTAATTAGAGTGGGAAAGGGATGTATTTTGGGCAAGTCATGCTAAAAGTTTTCCCTTAAAAAGAACCGATTTCCATAATGCTAACTTTTCTCTTCATATAACTTATATTAAATATTTATTAAATTGGAATACTTTTGACAGAATATGTGTATGTTTTAGTTAGTTACTTAACAGACTAAGTATATAAATAATTTTAGAGAATCTCGAAGCCCCTGTACTATTATTACGAACGTCACTATACATCCATCTTAGCCTGCACGCAGTTTCGCTTGCGCCACAAAGTATGCAACCATTTCTTGTGGCATTGTTCTACCGCAATATCCTCCTCGTCCTTCTACATTTGTGGATTCGTCTCCTCGTGTCTGCGTCGATAGTTCTCGTTTTCGTGCTCGTGCTCGTGCTCGTCTGTCCTCCGGTCTGTTGCTAAAACGTCAAACCTAGGCTAAGCTCTAGTTACTATATATATATATCTAGGTATCTATGCCATATCAAGACTATCTATCTTAACTAACTATAAAGTATAGACTTCGCTAATACCCCGTTTACTTGCAGTGCGCAGCTGCCGAACAGGCAAACAGGTCCAGATGACCGAGGCGGAGGTGCGTGGCTTGTGCCTCAAGTCACGCGAGATCTTCTTGCAACAGCCCATACTGCTGGAGCTAGAGGCACCGCTGATCATCTGCGGCGATATACACGGCCAGTACACAGACCTGTTGCGGCTATTCGAGTACGGCGGCTTCCCACCGGCTGCCAATTACTTGTTCCTCGGCGACTATGTCGATCGGGGCAAGCAGTCCCTGGAGACCATTTGCCTGCTGCTGGCCTACAAGATCAAATATCCGGAGAACTTCTTCTTGTTGCGTGGAAATCACGAGTGCGCCAGTATTAATAGGATTTATGGTGAGTTTAATTTACATAATTAACTAAGAAAGTTAGCTCAATATTCCCTTTGCAGGCTTCTACGATGAGTGCAAGCGTCGATACAATGTCAAACTCTGGAAGACCTTCACAGATTGCTTCAACTGTCTGCCCGTGGCCGCTATCATTGACGAGAAGATCTTCTGCTGTCATGGCGGTCTCAGTCCTGATCTGCAGGGCATGGAGCAGATTCGTCGCCTGATGCGGCCCACAGATGTCCCGGACACTGGGCTGCTGTGCGATCTTCTGTGGAGCGATCCCGACAAGGATGTCCAGGGCTGGGGCGAAAACGATCGCGGTGTGAGCTTCACATTCGGCGTGGATGTGGTCTCCAAGTTCTTGAACAGGCACGAGCTGGACTTGATATGCCGTGCGCATCAGGTGAGTCTAAGAAGCTGTCTAATTTATTATAGAAGATCTTAAGCTTAAGCTTTACTTTCTGTAGGTTGTGGAGGATGGTTATGAGTTCTTTGCGCGTCGGCAGCTGGTGACCTTGTTCTCGGCGCCCAACTACTGCGGGGAATTCGACAATGCCGGCGGGATGATGACGGTGGACGACACGCTGATGTGCTCATTCCAGGTGAGCTATTCTAAATATTATCCTAAGATCTTGAATATATATTTTTTGTTTTAGATCCTGAAACCATCCGAGAAGAAGGCCAAGTATCTGTACAGCGGAATGAACTCGTCGCGACCCACAACACCGCAGCGCAGCGCCCCAATGCTGGCGACCAACAAGAAGAAATAATATATCCATCCGCTTCCATTTCCTTAAAGGTTCAACAAACAACAGAAATAAACTTTTACATAGATACACACATATATATACATATAAATATAAAACAAAAACGTTTAGGCAAAAGTGAAAGATAGTAGAAAAAAAAATAACAAAAAAACAAAAAAGAAAGGCAAATAATAAAAGATAAATGATAAATAATAATAGAAAGGCAGCGAGCAAGATCGAAGTGCATAAAGATAAAGATCTATGTGTATCCGTCATTAACTGTAAACATATAGTGCATGCGTTATAATGGGGCGTGGCCTATATCTGTCTCTCTCTGTGTGTGTGTGTCCAACTTGATTAACTTATCCTTGTACCTGCTAGTTGCAGCAGCAGCAGCCACACAGAGGCCTAAGTCGTCGATTCCTGCATTTCAAGATTAACTCTGTTGAATGGAACGTCGCCCGCGACCGTGCACGCCCCTAAATAGCAGGCACCATCCCCCCCAAAAAAAATAAAAGAAAAGAACTCCTCCTAACATGCAGATAAACAAATAAATTAAACAAAAGTACAGCGATGTTAAGCAATGAATTTATATATAGGCTTATTAATGTAAACTATATACGATATACTTATATATTCATAACTACAAGAGAGAAACGAAAACGAAAACGGAAACGGAAAAGAACCCGAAAAACCTAAAACAGAAGAAGGAAAAAGCAAAGTACAGTAAGGCCCACTGTGGTACGAATTGCGTAAACTAGCTATCACTTGACTTTTCCTTTTTGGCCCTGCGCGCCGAGCTTACAAAATTCGCAGTAAATTGTTCGACTTTTTCTTTTTTTTTTTTGGTTCTCTTCTATCCTATCAACTATAAGTGCGCATTACAAATTTGTCTAACAAAGAAGAAAATGGAAAACTCTAAGAAAATCAAAATGTTAAAATTAATGCAAAAACGAAACGAAAAAAAACCTATGTATTAAGGCTTAAAAACAGTTCAACTCTGTGTGTGTATTTTATTTATTATTTATCTATAAATATAAATATATATATATATATGTATGTATGTTCTTTTTGTCATTGTTTAATTAATTTATTGCTTACTTTGTATTTATAAATCGAAAAACTATTGATTAACCCCTAACATCTACCTTCTTTTTTTTTTTATTCGTTGTCATTAACTCTGTTTAAGTGGCAAACAATTATTATTACTGTTAACGTGTTGATGGGCATTTAACATACAAACTTTAACTAGAGACAAACTCTTACCTAACTTTAACTTGCCTCACACACACACACACACCTACACACACACACACACAAATATGAGAAATAATAATAAAAACAAAAATAAATATTTAAATTTAACGAATTTTTGAAAGCATTACTTCGAGTACTTGAAACACCAATTTTTGTGCATATTTAATTTACGATTAAGAACTCATTCGAGTATGTAGAAAAGGCGAGAAGTGTGTATGAGAAATTATATATATATATATATGAGAATATATATAAGTATATAGAGGAGGAGCGGAGGAAGAGAGAAAACTAATTTTTTCATCGTCGTAACTTATTAGATTATAGTGCCTTTTTTGCCTCCCAAAAATAAAGTAAAATAAAAAGAAAAACAGAAAAACAGAAAAATCCACAAAGAAAGTGTGTAAACTAATGGTTTATATATATACAGATCATATAAATATATACATATACGGCTAGCGAAAGCTAATTAGAAAGAAAGTACAGCGTTTATTTTGTAACAATTGAAGAAGAAGAACCATAGTTGATCTAAAAGAGTATTATTAATGATTTTAAACGAAAAACTAAACTGTCTTAAAATCTGCATTAAAAATTAACACAAAACTATCGAAGAAAATCAGAAAATGTTTTACAAATTGTTGCTTTTTTTATAACAATAACTTTCCATGATAGGTTTCAGCTTGTTTGAACTAATACCCCTCCCCCACTTAGAAGCGAACTTTAGTTAATTCATTTATCTGCCAGAGTACGTTGTGGTTCTAACTTAATATGCATCGAATAAGAAAAAGAAAGCGGGCGGCAAACAAGTCAATTAATTGCATTAAAAAAACAAACCAAACAAGAAATGATGGAATGAAATTAATTTATTTAAACAAAAAAAAAGATGGAACTGTGCAGCGATTTAGCATTTTAGCCCTAGCTTTGAGCTACTGATTTCACACTCTCCTATTTGTTGTTATTTCGGATTATTAGAAAGAAAAAAAGAACACATCTCAGCAACAGTTTCACTTACCAATAACTTATATATATGTATGTATATATATATAAATAAATAAATAAATAAAAGTAACGAAATATACAAAGTACTACAATGAGAAACCCATGCGAGAAACATAGAGAGAGAAAAGCAATACGAAAACACAAAACGTATAACGGATAAATATATTTATTATTAAAAATCAAATAAAAATGAATTAAAACTTTATGTAAACAAAGTCTTGAGTGCAATATTTTATTTATTGGGATACAGTTAGTGTAACATTAAGTATATATATTCTCAAATAGGTTTCATAGGCTGGTTTATTAAGCCTTGTCCGTAAATTTGTCCGCTTGTCCGTATATCTCGGGAACTAGAAGCGCTAGAAAGTTGGGACTCAGCATGAAGATTGGAGGTATGATGAAAAGAATACATATTCTCGATCAGGCTTAATATGCCACAATTTTGCCTTGTCCGTAGATCTGTCCGTTTGTCCGTATGAAAAGAGATCTCTGGAACAATATGAGCTAGAAAGTTGGGACTCAGCATCCAGATTACAGAGATAGTGAAAAGTAAAGATTTTATCGATCAGGCTTAATAGGCTTGTTTATTGCGCCTTGTCCGTATGTGTGTCCGTTTGTTCGTATAAGCGCTGATATCTCGGGAACTATAAAAGTTAGAAAGGTGGGATTAATGGATTGAGTTTCTAGCGATAATTTTAGGATGGAATGTTACGTTTTTGTAGGTTTTTGTATCTAAAATTAAAATAGACTCAGGCTTTTTAAACGATTTGAGGTTAAATCAGTCTCTGAAGTGCTTTTTCTGATGCAGCCCTTGGGAAACTCCTATTCCCCTTACCAAAATCTTCAGTTAATAATTCTTCTTGTTTAACTTCAAACTTAAATTCTATAAAAAACAAAAAAACAAATAACCAAATATAAAAGGTTATTGCTCTTCCAAAGGATGTTAGGATTGGTTTTACATTTTCTTCTAATAAAATAAAGTCCTTTAAGGAGTGAAACCAACTTAAAGCTTATAATAAGTCTAGTTAAGGTCTAGTTCCTATATAAGGCTTAACACACATTCAACCGTAAGTCCACACCAAAGCTTTCCAAGTTTAGGATCTGAACTTACAGCTTTCCTTGAATTTTAACTCCGAAAAGCTACCTTCAAACAAAAGCTTGGCTCTGCCTGTTTAATGTTAATTAACAGGGCCAAAGGCAATGATAATTTTTGGCTAACTAAGTGAGGGTGTTGGCGGAGCAGTAGAAGGGGTGTAATCACTTTTGGACAGCTCCATGCTGATTGCCAGAAGGCCAAGCCATGTTAGCCAGCTAATGGTTCTGGGTTCTTGGCTCTTGCTTCTTGGCTGGCAATGATGGGCAGTCAAATAATTTTAGAACTCCTGCTGGGGTACTCCATCTTTCATCCTTTTATACCCTAGAACAACCACCCAAAATCACCACTGACATGCTGAGAATGAAAACAAGTGAGATTTTTGTGATATTTTATGTTAAACATTTATTTCATTATATTTTGAGATGTTCTACTGCGGTCTGTCTGCCCCCAGAGTCCACAGTCCAGAGTCCAGTCGAGCTCCATCCACACTCACTGCCCACTGACCACTGACCAGTGACCACTGACCGAGACCATGATTCATCATCAATCAATTGGCTATCCTAGCATCTGGACTGGACTGTAGGAGGTCTGGGGACAGAAAGGACAACAAACTAGAACCGGAAAGGAAGGGAGACACAAAAATGTTTTCGCAATCCTTGGCTGCGATTAGAGTCCAGCTCTTAAAGTAAAAAGAATGCGGTTTTTCGTATATTTTTTTGGGGGGGGAGGGGGATCTTAAGTCATAAGTCTAGATAGCCATCGATATACAGTGTATACATATATGATTGTATATAGGGTTATTATGTAATCTTTTAGTGTATTCATAGAAATGCATCACATTTAAGTTTATTTTGTTTCGCCTTGTTTTCTGCGCGCGTTTAGTTTAGCGTCGAAATGAATTAGTAGCTTGGCTTGTCAAAGCAACACACTCACATAAATATATTTAAATATATATATATATTATCTATATATCGATAGGGAGATCGATCTGCACACAGATTGCATAAGCCGAGCATAGCTAGACACTCTAATCTTGTGTTACATTCATAAATTCTTTTTTATTCAGTGTTTTCTCATTTCTTCAATGTTGCACATTAAACTCTAGACACATATACACGGAAATGTTAATCGTTATCGTTATCGTTATCGTTATCTTTATATAGTATATATTATGTATGGATTTTCGTACAGCTAAACATTAAAAATCTTTGATATCATTTGTGTTTACTTTGGTGGTTTCAGTAAGTCCCTCCTAAATAGGATATTCTTCGCAATAGTTTGCAAAACTCTTTAGGTATTCGATCATCATCGTCATCATCATCATCCTTCTTGTGGAGGCTTAAAACCGCTTTATAAAACTATAAGCTATAGCTTTTCGATCCTTCTTCTTGGAGGTTTAACTAATGTTCGGAACTTTGTCAACCGATTTCTTTCTTTCGACTAAAATTGGCCATCCAACTTTGTTCGGCTTAATTTAACTAATTTGACCATGGATTTTGAAACAAAACACACACACATACATACACACACACATTGACATTGGCCACAAAAGCCAGAAAACTCACAGATATGTGCTTGTGTATCTTGCGGATATCTGTTTAATTTGCTTGGTTTTTCGGTTATTTTGTAAATACTTTTCGTCAGTTTGAAACCGCAACGAGATTTTCAGTGTGTCTGCCCTTTTGGCCTCTTTAGTAAGGTTTTTGCCTTTGTAAATACACATCAAACATTAATATTTAGTAAATATATTTATGATAATTTAGTTAGTACATTATCGACGTACCCTAATGGTGACATCTGTGCGATCTAAAAGGGCTTTCAATTGGCATTTGTTGTTTGTTTTTTTTTTTTTTTTGTAATGTCAAACACACTCACTTAAGATCTAGATATATATATATATATATAGATGTGCTTTAGGTTGGCTTGCCTTTCAATTTCAATACTGTAGATACCGCTACTAAACTATCCTGCCAAAACCACACAAAATATCATCAATTTCAACGCATTGCATGGCTAATATCAAATGATAAATCTTAAAGCTAACGACTATAAATATGACTCTTAAGTCCTTAAACTCCTTCGTAGCTTTTTCTATTCCACTTCGATTTGCAAAAATTTCACCTCATTTCATTGTCTAATTCCTAGGGAATACCGTTGCCAACTTTAGTGGCTACATCCTTGCTTTCATCCGTCCATGGAAACCTCCAACTTACTCATCTGCTAGCTGCTCACTAACTCGACTCTTGAAACCGAAACTGAATTGTTTTTTCTTACTTTCTTTACATTTACATTTTGGTTTATTTATTTCCTGGAGTTGGTATTCATATTACCAGCTTAACATTGCTAAATCATACATAGTTAAACCGCAAATATAAATACCAGCCCGAGTTGAAAACCTTTTCTCTCGAAATGCTGCTGAAACGTCTTCATTGAGTTCATCCAATTGGGCTTTAGTCTTCCTCGATTAAGTACTTGAAAAACTTCAAATTTGAAACGAGTTTTTGGGGTTTTAAGTCCTCTAAGCTAATCTAATCACTATTCGTCACAAAATTTAGGGTTTAACTTAAGGATTTAAGGACTTTCGAGTGCCTCTTTTCGAGTGATTTAAAATCACAAGAAATTTGTGAATATTTTAAAATCAAATTTAAATCATAGCCTGACTAATCCCAAACTAAAATCTGTTTAAATTCCCACTAATTTCCAGTTCTAGAAAATCCCCCCCCCCTATATTGGAGTGGGGACTACGTCCTACTGGATGGTACTACGGCTTTCGCTTGCGCTTGGCAAACATCTGGGACCACAATCAGAATCACACATTCGACGACTTGGGCACTGCACCGGTCTCGGCACCGGGAGCATGGCTTGCCTGCATCGGCTCCTGCTCCCTTTCCGGCTGCACTTCGTCTCTGTCCGGCGATACTTGCTCCAAATGGATTTGCACAATATGCTCCTCCTCACCCGACATTGGAACCTGTTCTTCTTGCTCCTCCAGATCCCGGGCCAAGGTCTCGCTGCGTTGTAAGCGACGCTTGTGAGAACCATTCTTGGGAACAGGAACCCTGATGTTGAACTCATCGTCTAGGGTCTCAATCATGTCCAGCTGACTGGCTGACTGTCCGGATGAATGGCCAGATGACTTGGCAGCAGCGGCAGCGGCGGCGGCTGCACTGGTCGAGGGCCCATCGCCAATCTCAGCGGATGTGGGCGCCGGTCGCCTTCCGTTCCGCCTGCCCACAGGTGCATCATGCAGGGCCAAGCGCTCCATCTCGAGCCGTAGCTCACCCAGCGTGGCAGAAGCAAAGCCCGGACGCTGTGTCTCATCCACATGGACAAGGACGAATGGCAATTTCAGGGACAACTCGCCACCCATGCCGCTCAGGGTGAGCTTCACCTTGACGTAGTACGATACATAGATGGCGAACACGTTGCGCTCCTCACCGCCACTGCCAGAGGAATTGTGATTGCCCGACTGACCCTGACCTTGGACTCCGGGCTGCCACAGGTGCGGATGTGGGGTGATCAGAGCTGGACTGCCCAATGGATGGCCACATCCACCTAGCAACTGGGCATTCTGCATCACAAAGTGCGGCGAACGTATGGCCGAGGCTGCGATGGCGCCTGTGATCTCCTCCGGCTCGGTGCTGCGCTGCAAGGTATCCTCCAGGGCAATCCAGTTCTTGGTGGGGCCACGCTGTGGCCGCAGCACAACTGTGGTGTTCAGCGAGGCTCCGGCGGCCACTGTGCGATCCACTGGGGGCGTCACATTGTCCGAGTCGGCCACCACATTCTTGAATTTGCCATTGTTGAACATGCAAACGTCGACGTGTTGGATGGCGCAGACCTTCCCCGGGAGAAAATGGTAGAGAAAAAAGTATGTAGTTAGAATATATGTTAGTTAGTTAGATGGCTGAGAGGTGAAGGGTGTGTGTAAAGGGAGAAGGCCTATTGCTGGAGAAGGTCACTTCCTTGAAGGCACTGGCCATCAAGTAGCCGCACCGCATGACCAATCCACACCCAATAAATGGGTCAGACATCAGTGAAAGGAAATACTCTGACATAGAAACAATCTTGAAAAATAACTTTATTAACAAATTAAATAATGAAAATGACTTTCCCTTAAACCTTTCCCAGAAATTTTTCACCCCAAAAAAACAAGAGAGCAACGTCTGGTCAGCTGAATTCCATCAGATTCCTTCGTCTGGTCATTGGGACTCTATTTGCTTCAGTTTGGCCAAGTTCAAACGATGTCGAGCGTTATTTTATGGCTGCGGACAAAATGTCCCTGGCCCAATCTTCCAGCCAATCTAAGATTATGCACTCAATTACCGTCCATTCAAGTGGCCATATAAGAACGCCCATGCGGGCATATATATCTATCTCATATATACATCCTATATATATATATATATACATCTATATATACAGAAAAAGCAAAAATAATAAATTAAACTCAGGCCTGGCCTCACTTATTGGCAGCTCATCAGTGTCGATTTCTGGCAGACAGCTTTCACGGCTTTTTATGTCCCATTTTGGCCTTCATTTCTTTTTGGCCAACGCAAAGCAAATGTTTTCATTTATGGACGTGTAAAATGGCCTGGATTAATAAATGCCAAATGCCTAATATTCAATATGAATGTGGTTTTGGTGAAGATAAGTAATAGAATTGGTTTTTATTAATCTTTAATTGAATTTTTGCAGAAACTCAGACACAAATATTATGTATACGCAGAGTTGGTTGAATGCTGCTCAAACGGTATAGTTTATTGTTTATATTTAAGAAAATGTAAGCATTTGTTTTCAAAATAGAGTTCTGTTGAATAACTTTCGAAATTCAGGAATCTTTCCTTTAATAATGATAATAAAAGTTCCAAATTTGATCAGAGTTTAAGTTTTGGCTAACAACTTTGTTAGGTATCTACCTATTCTACCTTTCAAACAGTTAATACTTAATTAATGAATATTTATTGATTAATTTTCTTCAAACAACTCCTCGTTTCCACATAAACATGCGCCTGATTTAACGCACTAAGAAGTTCATGAAATTCATCCCCTTGTTCTCTTTTTTCAACAGCAATCGAAATGAGCAATCAGAATCTTCCATCGACTCGTTCAGTTCACAGTTTTCAATTCCATATAGCATTTAAATGGTCGTCATCTAAGTCGCCTTTCTTTCCCTTTGTGCCACGGCTGTGGGGGGGACTTTCAATTGGCTTGGGGCGGGGCGAGATGGTCGCTGGTCCAAAGGACCTTTTGCCCGCCGCGAGGACTTGTTGCTGGGAATCATGCCGCAGCACCACGACGCTGGAAATTGGGGAACAGATGTCCAAGTTGCCACCCAAGGACCCCAAGGTAACTTTTGACATTTCGTCGGGTGACTTTGGCTGCTAAAAAAGTACAAAGCAATCTCGGCATTTAGAATGGCACACACATACACATACACCCAAACATAGAGAGAGAGAGAGAGAGAGAGAGGGAAATGTACATATTTAATAAGGCGCAAAGTGCACGATGAAAATAAAATAAATGAGGAGGAGGTCCAGGAGGGGTTGCACGCAAGAAATCTCGGTTTTGGTATCAACATTTAGACTTGCTTGCTTGGAATGGTGGAGACGGAGATGGGTGTCCGAACGGGGAAAGGCCATCAAATCAAATCGAATTATGCGATTGCATAAAAGATGCCAAAAACTTGTCACAAATGGCCAAGGACTCAGGGGACACAGAATGGCCAGAAAGGACACACGAGCACTCCCTTCGAAAGGCAAACGAAAGGCCAAACAAAACTAAACCAGTTGGGATATTATTTACTGGCTTAAACCAAATGTTGAGCCATTTGCGAAAATACATTTAACAAAAACAGGAAGTTCTGCAGATTCCTTTAAATTATTTACAGCAGATGTAGTCTACTTAATAGGGCGACATCGGGACGCTACCTTGGAAGGTTGTCAAAAATGCGAAATTTGGGCCAAAATTGATTTTCAAGCCCGAAAAACAAGTAATAGTGGTGGTAAGTGCTGGTAGTTAGCAGCACGAAACTGTCGTTCTTTTGGCTGAGTCAGAGCTAAAAACCCGAAAATAATGTTGCAAATTTCTGTCAGAAATAGGTTCTTGATTTTTAGCTATTAAACCAGAGCTGGCACAACAAAAGCAGAGCAAAAATGAGAAAAGCAAGTATAGGGGCTTTAAGTTTCGGTTGTTAGCTGCTTAAAACAGTCATTGCTTTAGCCATGCGTCTCGTTTTGACAAAGTTATAGCAAAGAAACGGCAACAAGACCAGGATCTCTGCTGCCAAGGGACGTATACTTGATTTTTAGCGCAAAAAATTCAGTTTTTTAGCTATTGCGCAGCCAAAAATGGCCCAATTGAGGAGTGTAATACCTCGTACGGCTCGTTCTTTGATTGCCATGATTCCCAATTGATTTGCATTCAAATCTGGAAAACTTCATTTTTGGGCATTTTTTGAAAATTTTGATGATGGTACCCCTTATCAAAAATGCGAAATTTGGGCCAAAATTGACTTTCCCAAAATCGAAAATCGAGTGATAGGGGAGGTAAGTGCTGGTCGTTAGCTGCACAAAACAGTCGTTCTTTTGGCTGTGCGTCTATTTTTAGCCGAGTTAGAGCTGTCAGAAATAGGTTCTTGATTTTTAGCTATTAAACCAGAGCTCGCACAACAAAAGCAGAGCAAAAATGAGAAAAGCAAGTATAGGGGCTTTAAGTTTCGGTTGTTAGCTGCATAAAACAGTCATTGCTTTAGCCATGCGTCTCGTTTTGACAAAGTTATAGCAAAGAAACGGCAACAAGACCAGGATCTCTGCTGCCAAGGGACGTATACTTGATTTTAAGCGCAAAAAAATCAGTTTTTTAGCTATTGCGCAGCCAAAAATGGCCCAAATGAGGAATGTAATACCTCGTACGGCTCGTACTTTGATTGCCATGATTCCCAATTGATTTGCATTCAAATCTGGAAAACTTCATTTTTGGGCATTTTTTGAAAATTTTGATGATGGTACCCCTTATCAAAAATGCGAAATTTGGGCCCAAATTGACTTTCCCAAAATCGAAAATCGAGTGATAGGGGTTGTTAGTATTGGTCGTTAGCGGCACGAAACAGTCGTTCTTTTGGCTGTGCGTCTATTTTTAGCCGAGCTAGAGCTAAAAACCCGAAAATAATGTTGCAAATTTCTGTCAGAAATAGGTTCTTGATTTTTAGCTATTAAACCAGAGCTCGCACAACAAAAGCAAGAGAGCAAAAATGAGAAAAGCAAGTATAGGGGCTTTAAGTTTCGGTTGTTAGCTGCATAAAACAGTCATTGCTTTAGCCATGCGTCTCGTTTTGACAAAGTTATAGCAAAGAAACGGCAACAAGACCAGGATCTCTGCTGCCAAGGGACGTATACTTGATTTTAAGCGCAAAAAAATCAGTTTTTTAGCTATTGCGCAGCCAAAAATGGCCCAAATGAGGAATGTAATACCTCGTACGGCTCGTACTTTGATTGCCATGATTCCCAATTGATTTGCATTCAAATCTGGAAAACTTCATTTTTGGGCATTTTTTGAAAATTTTGATGATGGTACCCCTTATCAAAAATGCGAAATTTGGGCCCAAATTGACTTTCCCAAAATCGAAAATCGAGTGATAGGGGAGGTAAGTGCTGGTCGTTAGCAGCACAAAACAGTCGTTCTTTTGGCTGTGCGTCTATTTTTAGCCGAGCTAGAGCTAAAAACCCGAAAATAATGTTGCAAATTTCTGTCAGAAATAGGTTCTTGATTTTTAGCTATTAAACCAGAGCTCGCACAACAAAAGCAGAGCAAAAATGAGAAAAGCAAGTATAGGGGCTTTAAGTTTCGGTTGTTAGCTGCATAAAACAGTCATTGCTTTAGCCATGCGTCTCGTTTTGACAAAGTTATAGCAAAGAAACGGCAACAAGACCAGGATCTCTGCTGCCAAGGGACGTATACTTGATTTTAAGCGCAAAAAAATCAGTTTTTTAGCTATTGCGCAGCCAAAAATGGCCCAAATGAGGAATGTAATACCTCGTACGGCTCGTACTTTGATTGCCATGATTCCCAATTGATTTGCATTCAAATCTGGAAAACTTCATTTTTGGGCATTTTTTGAAAATTTTGATGATGGTACCCCTTATCAAAAATGCGAAATTTGGGCCCAAATTGACTTTCCCAAAATCGAAAATCGAGTGATAGGGGTTGTTAGTATTGGTCGTTAGCGGCACGAAACAGTCGTTCTTTTGGCTGTGCGTCTATTTTTAGCCGAGCTAGAGCTAAAAACCCGAAAATAATGTTGCAAATTTCTGTCAGAAATAGGTTCTTGATTTTTAGCTATTAAACCAGAGCTCGCACAACAAAAGCAGAGCAAAAATGAGAAAAGCAAGTATAGGGGCTTTAAGTTTCGGTTGTTAGCTGCATAAAACAGTCATTGCTTTAGCCATGCGTCTCGTTTTGACAAAGTTATAGCAAAGAAACGGCAACAAGACCAGGATCTCTGCTGCCAAGGGACGTATACTTGATTTTAAGCGCAAAAAAATCAGTTTTTTAGCTATTGCGCAGCCAAAAATGGCCCAAATGAGGAATGTAATACCTCGTAGGGTTCGTACTTTGATTGCCATGATTCCCAATTGATTTGCATTCAAATCTGGAAAACTTCATTTTTGGGCATTTTTTGAAAATTTTGATGATGGTACCCCTTATCAAAAATGCGAAATTTGGGCCCAAATTGACTTTCCCAAAATCGAAAATCGAGTGATAGGGGTTGTTAGTATTGGTCGTTAGCGGCACGAAACAGTCGTTCTTTTGGCTGTGCGTCTATTTTTAGCCGAGCTAGAG